CCAGGTCGGTGGTGACTCATGTCCACTCCACGGTCCACCGAAGCAACCGGTTCGAGCCGGAGGGGCTGGATCAACACGGTGTAGGTGCCCACCTGCGCGCAAAACGGTGGAACCGGGGTGGAGCTTCGGGACCGTTGGACGTTGACGTTGCACCATGTCGTCCCTGCCAGGGCGAAGGAGGCGAGATCGGTGGGGTGGGCCGATAGGTGAGGACATAAAGAGAAGTAGTATCCAGGGCGACCAAACAAGGAGTGTTTCAACCCAAGGATTATTACCACTATATACTCTGGAAGTCCAAAGACTATATTTTGACCGGATGAAGTAAAGGAAGTTCCCTCTCAGGTCCCCTAGTCAGACCATTCTTTTTATAGTCTTTGACTCACAGGGACTATATCATTACTACCACTACTACTCGGACCGAGTCGATATTTCTGTGCCGGACAAAGTCGAGGTCCAGACACACAGACGAAGGTCCAGGCACCCACGAAGGTCCGAAGCTCAACAGAAACTCTCGGGTTTTTTTCTTTTTTTTTCGCTTCCCGGCGCAGGACTGATCTCGCCAGCACTGGATCTCTAGGCGGAGCTGATGAGGGGGAGGGTGCCAGCAATGCGTTACACCCCAAAATCAGAAGAAAATAAGAAGAAGGAGAAGAATCCCGGTATTTTGGCCATCAGAGTTTAGGACCGAACCAACGTAGCAGTTGGTTCAGGGGGGCCGGTTCGGGGCCGGGTCGCCTCTCGTTTTACGGACATGGCGGAGTCCCAGTATGTCCATGTGGGGGTGTATTTGAAGCCCACCCAGTGAGTGAGTCTTTGGGGCATCCCAACAAAGTTCAGCATCCAACTTGACTGGAACTTCCCTGGAACTTCCTGGATGACCCCCATCTTTGCACCTTGCCACCCATCGTCAAGTTGCCGGCATCCTTCACCACCTGAAGTTCGCGGATGCCCCGGCACCGGGAGGTCGGACCGGAGCACCGGGGGGCGGGAGGTGGGCGGGAGGTCGGCGTGGTTGGGGCATGAGATTGGGCGAAGAAGAACCTGAAACGGCTCCTTCCACGATCCGAACAACATCGAAGGGAAAAAAACCATCGACGAATCAAGATGAATCGTCGGTGTCCCCAGTCGATGTGCCGCACCGATCCGGATGCGAAGGCTGCTCCCAAAAACGGCCTGACCGTCAGGGGGGTGCTAAGGTGCGAAGACTTCTTCGCTCTAGATGGGTTTCGGCGGCCCAGGAAGGTCCCAAGCTGAGCCTGCAAAGCGCTTAAGACCTAAGCTGCCTAAGCCCCCTTGAAAAAGAGAGAGCGTGCGGCGTGCGATCGCTCCGTATGAGGCTCGTCTTTGACCTCCCCCATCCCCGGCCTGGCCAGGCACGACCTGGGCATAGCGATACCAAGCTGCGGCCTGGCCGCTGAGAGGACCGCAAGAAGACCGAACCATGACGATCGCCGGGGGTTCGGTGCGTTGCGTGCCTGAGCTGGTCACGAAGTCAAACACATAAACAAGAAGATTCAAAGCCGCAAAAATTGGAAGATTCAAAGCCTGCGCACTCGTCGGAGTGGCCGAGAAAAACGGATATGGATGGAAAATCAAACACCCAATTGTTCAGTCAGGCAAAACAGTCTTCTGAACGAACTGCCATGTACATCCATGTTCCTGGAAGGGATGTTGTGTCGGCGAACCAGGAAGATCTCTTCCAATCCGCTGAATCGCGCACATCGAAGCCAGAAGACCCATCTGTCAGACCTCTCAGGGCGTCCTGCCGTCGAACCGGTTCACCCCCGTGGAGGAAGGATCCAACCTGATCCCACCGCACCGACCACGGACTCGCCACAGATGCTGAACGGCGTGGGGGGTTCTGCGGTCGGATCGGTCCACGAACCGGGGTGGTTCGGCCGAACTCCGCCGACCGACGCGCCACAGAACCCGGTGCCATTGAAGAGCGGCGTCGGGAAACCAAATCGGGATCGAAGTGAAAGAGTCCTTTTTGGACTGCATGCTGCGACAGGCATTGCAAATGGACCTGCTTTTGGGGCCACGCGTGGCCTTGCGAGTAACGCTAGGAAAGGCCAACACCGACACCTTCCATGCCGTCGTGGGTGACGTAAGGTGGGTTCCCCGAACCTGCAGCTTCCCTACCAGCATTCCTCCAACCTAGTACAAGTAGCGTCCTTGCTACTAGTAGTAATGGCCTCCACCCTAAGAGCGATGGCCTCCAACCCAATGTTAAAGCAAGATAAAGCAAGTACTTTCGTTTCCCAATGGAACGCAGCCATGTCCACGATGGCGCGAAGTCAGTGAGTTGGAGGGTGGAGCCCTTTCATTGGATGATGGGTCGTCCGTGATCCATCCCCCCAAAAAGAAAGCCAGTCATGGCACTTGGTAGAGAATCAGGGAATCACCCCATTTTCGAAGCTTCCAGCCCCAGCCCTCCTGGCCCCGATACCGCGGTGTCCGGGACCCCCCGGCTGGAGCCAGCGTCGTGGCCCACAGGACCTGGACCGAGCCGGACGAGCGAGGCGTCGGCGTCGCAAAGAGCCGGAAAGAGTGAGAAAAAACGGCTCCGGTTCTCTTCTTCTGCAAGGAAGAAGGTCTTTTAGGATGGAGGTCTCTGGATTGTGGAGAAGCGGATCAGTTCTTGCATCAGTTCGGGTTTGGGTGGAGAAGGTCTTTTTCGGATTAAAGGTGAAAAAAGACATCCTCCGTCCAAGGTCCTCGATTCGGAGAGTTCCATGAACGGCTTTTCGACCACTGGGCATCAAAGCAAACGAGGCCATCCACTTACAACGTCTGTGGAGGAGCACTGATATTATATCTACATCGTACAAGTCAAGAACCTCGTCCTGTTCATCAAGACGGAACGGGCCTAATAAACAGGACCCGTATTTTTGGGGCCTGTGTGCCAGTAAAGAGACTCCAGACTCCTTCTGAAGGAAGAAAAGAAGACACCACTTGGGTACCTACCTGCGGTTCCATGTCAAAGTTGCTTTGAGTTCCATCCAGAGTGGATGTGAACAAGGGGCACCCGTCACCCAACTCCATGGGACTTATGGTATTCATGCTGTTCTTGGGCTTTTGGGTATACAGTCCCAGGCCATCCAGTTATGACGATAGCTGGTAACCAGTGGTTCCAGTTCGACTAGACTAAAACCATATAGACTAGACTAATCCCTGGTTCCTTACTACTCGTGGCTACCTGGGATCCACTGGGAATAGTGCAAACAGCTGGGATCCCCAGCTGCTGCGAACGCAATGCGAGCCATGGCGTCGTAAACCGGTCGTCACTGCTGCGAGCCCAAACTCTCGTGCTGCTGCGGGCAGAAGTGTTATTGCTTCTTCAGGGGCGCTTGGAATGCAAACGCCCCAAGAGTTGTATCATCCAAAATCATCCCCCAAGTAGACGATGTTTCAGACATATACTACTTGCACTGAACAAAGTGCCTGCAAACTAGAATGACTCTGGCCTGTCAAGTAACTGCAGAATGGCTTGCTACTGCCCAAAGGCCGCGACAACACCGGAAAGCACCGGAAACCAGGCACTTCGCAGGCGACGCAGTTTCTCAACTCGCATGGTTGATTGATCTTTGGTTGATGCTTTCATCAGCAAGAGACCTGCCATTAGCGCAGAGGAGCAGTGGGCATTGGTTGTTCAACCAACATACCCACGTCTCGGAGTAGCATTGTCAACTACCAACCATCCAGCTGGAATTTGAGCAAAGGATTGTCCAAATGAGAAACACCACCATGGATGGTCGCCGCTAGATGTCCAGGGTGGCAAACATCTTTGGTCACTAGTCAAACCTCCATTCCTCAACAGTGGCCATGACAGCGAGATTCTGCAGGATTGTGGAGACGTTTTGAGCTTGGATGACTATTTTCCTTTCCTTTCCTTTTTCCTTTCCTTGGTTCTTTCTTTGGCAGCGTCAAATGGAAATCCGTGTCGCCTAATTTCGAGATAAGACCTGGGCACAGCTCTTTGGGCCAAAGAAGTGTCTCATGGAGTGCTCATCACGAAAGTAGTTAGTTAGCCAAAATTGGTGGCTTAATCATGTTTAATCTGCGTTCTTTTGTTTTTGATGCTAGGTGAGATCTCTGTTGTGGGCTAGTTTCCAAAGCGGAACGCTCTTGCAAACATGAGGATACAATTGTATACATGTTCTTGGAGGGAATCAAGAAGTGCCAGCTGGACAGTGCTATTGAAATCGCCCGAGGATCTCTTTTCCGGTTGCCCCAGACGAGGCACTCGACCTAAATCTGCATGACCTTCTTGGTTGAGATCGTACTACATTCTCAGAGTTGGTGGCCTACCACCGGATGTTCTCATCATAGGAAACCAAACATACCAATGGCCGAAGCAACTGGAGGACATGATCAGCATCTCCATGGTAGATTCATGTTGGGTTAGCCAGGGAGACGCATATTTTAGACCCATCGAAGTTTGTTTAGATTTACGCAGGAGTGTATCTTGGCGTCTCGCCTTCAGCCTGGCTTTTTCGGTTGGGAAGTCTGACCCTCACTCGTGCAGTCAGTGCAGTTTTTCACGGGTTTCTTCGAAACAAATCATCGAGACACGGTGGGGGAAATACTCTGGGTCGATTTGGAGTCCCAACAAGGAAAGTGCTCAGTGGTCCAAACACACCCATCTACTGTGGTCCAATCTGACCCATGACGATCCCGCCCGGGATCTCCAAAAAGAAAACAGGTCTGGCATGCACGGTCTCACCCCTGAAGCGGATTCAGCTCGTGGAGCAAAGCCTCTTAGGGTCCAGGAGCCCTCCACCTGCACCAAGGAGCCTTTCCTGGAGCCCCCTGGAGCCCACTTCACCCTGACTTCAGAGGTGCTCTCTTGGGTGTCCACTACCCAAGTTTTGTGGGCCCTGTCATACGCCCAAAAGGATCCAATCTTGGTGGGATTTGTGAGCCTTTCTTGAAGACCGATAGAATCTGATAGATTCTGACCCTTTCACGTCCAATCAGTCAAATCCTCGAGCTTGCACCTACCATAGCGGCCAGTCGCGGCATCTTCGTATCGCGGACGAACAGCTCAGTAGGTCAAAATGAGATCCTGGGCACAGAGATGGGGTCTGCCAGTGGATTCAAGGAATCTTGGTAAGTGTAGCTTCATGCTTTGCGTCCCCTTATCCAACCCAGAACAACCGAGATGTTGACCCTGAACCAAAACTTGAACTTTGCTCTCTGGTCTTGTGATAGATTCCCAACACCGGTTTGAACGAATCCCACGGCTTGAACGAGGAATTCGACGGAAATCCGACGTCCCAATGTCCTGAACTCGTGCTGAGATCCTGGATGAAGCATGGACAATGTGCCTGTCACCTTCCACAGTGTCCTTTGGTCGGTTACAACAAGTAGACCGGAGAAAAGACCAATTGGCGTTGACCAATCCCACCGATCACCCCACCGACCGACACGGTCCTTTGGGGCGGGGGGCCGGCACGAAACCCTCCGAGGGACGGTGGTCCCAGCCGCACAACGCCACCCGACCCCCTCAGGCTCAGGAGTGTTCACCAGCGCAAGCGTCCACAGCATCACATGTTCATGGCACAAATGTGATGGGCATCATTTGTTGGGTGCCTACACGCAACAGCTGTCTGTGCGGCCTGGGCTACTCAGCTACTCTTGAAAGGCAACTTGGATGCGGGCACCGCCAAGCCAAACCCATCAGACATCAGTACAGAACTTGTCATAACGTGTCCAATGCCGAGGCTCGGCCGATCTAGCTTGTCAAGAAAAGAACATCACCCCTACCCTTGTCAAGGGAGTAGAAAAACATGAACATGACTTTTACACCAATGTATCACCACCAGACCAGGCCATTTGGGGCACCTGCCATCTCTTCATTGCTGAAAGGGCTGGAGAGGTCACCGGTCGTGTCGGGTCATGCCCGGCAGTCATGCCTGGCAGTCATGCCTGGGTGGCTTCAGGTTCCGCAGGAAGGGTGGTGCCCTACCGTAATCTACTGGTTTTTTAGGAATCCACAGGTTGAGTTTCCGGAAATCCACACTTTAAGCGATGTGTGTGTGTGTGTGCGTCCTGAAATGTCAAGGGCTGTGTGGTGTGGATGGTGTGGTTGATGTTCTGTCTTGTCGTGATATGTAACTATTTTCAAACTGTCTGCTGTTGTTTCTTTTTGTCCTGGTGTGCTGTCAAGTCATCCGTGTCTGTGTGTGTTGTGGTTGTTATGTTTGGTGTTGCCATTGTGTTATCTTTGTCTGTTGTCTGTTGACCGTTGTCGTCTTTGTTGTGGTGCATTGCGTGGTAGTATGTGTGCTGTGCCTGGCGTTGCCTTGTTGTGTGTGTGTGTGAACCCCCTGGAGTCACAGGGATTCCTTTGAATTTATAGATCGCAACATGCGTGCTCCAGGAAGTACTTGCTTTGATTTTTAGCAGGGGGCAATCCCACAATGCAGTTGATTGCCCAACGAAGAGGGCTGCAATTGTGGCTGATATCGCTTTCCAGACGTATATACCTGTTTCTTTTTGAACTGTTGCTCAAGCTGTGACCCCACTTTTCAGTAAAGAGCTAATGCACTCCGCAGTTGTGAGCGAACGTCAGCCTGTCGCGAAGGGTCTCGTTCAAAACTTTCCAGTTCGTGGACTTTGGAGGCCTGATGGAGGATACAGATTCATTTGGTTGGACTCCACTCCGTTTTCTTTCAAGTTTCAACTTACCTGGACTCTTAGGTTTTCACTTAGGTTGGCGTGTGGCAAACCGCACTCGTGTCAGTATGCATTTCCTAAGTGTGTCAATGTTTGTTGTCTGTTGTCGCGTTTGTCGCGTTTTGTCAAGTCGGGACACTGACGGGATACTGGTGGCACACTGCTGTCGGGCCAGGCGGGACGTGTTATGCTTTCGTTTTCTATTTCTGTTGTCATACTGTATGTGTGGCTGCGTCGAGTCACTGTGAATGCTGTGTGTTGTCTTTCTGTCATTGGACTGGTCAGGTCACGGTTCGTGGTGCATGGTCTACAATCTACCTACTCTCCAAGTCAACGAAGTGAATCGCACCACCTGTTTGGTGCAAAATGGGTCTTCCAGGAGCCTGGACGGTCCACTTCGCCATGTCGCATCCAAGTCGTGCCATAGGGCCCATGGGGTCAAACTGTTTGTCAAAAACATAGACTCTGATCTTGCATATCTTACATAGATATATACATATATATATCTGGGAGTCAAAGACCACAAAAAGAATGGTCTGACGAACGGGGACATGAGTTCGGGAACTTCCTTTACTCCAGCCAGTCAAAATATAGTCTTTGGACTTCTAGGGTATATATAATTGTTATATGGGAATGGTGAATCCCCCAAAAGGGTCACTGGCTTGTAGATGAGTTCGAACATGGATGGCCCAACTCACTACAGTCGTGTTTCGACCATGGCACCTACGAAAGGTATAACGCTGTCTATGTGACATGAAAGCCGTCGCTCGGTCCCAACATCTTTATCTGGCCACAAGAAGAACAATGGGATTGGTGTTCTTATTGAGCTGCTTTTGCGAAAAACGAGGCTTTCACAACAATAACATGAGATCTGACTGTGTCTGGCACAGAGATCTCTGCAGTGATTAAACATTTGGTCGCAGCAAGGAAAGCTCCCGCGCCGACGTCTTGAGCACAGGCTCGACCAAACACGCGGAATCCGGCCGAGCATCGGTCGACAGATATGAGCGCGTGCCTGTGAATCAAAAAAACACGCTTGCTCACTCACGGGTCTGGGCAAGGTGTGGTCACACAACCAAAAGAAGAACCATGGGATTGGTGTTCCTATTGAGCTGCTTTTGTGAAAAAAAACAACGCTTTGACAACATCAACATATTGTCTCGAGGGCGTGCTACAAACACCTCATCCAGCCCTTCGCACATCTGTGGTTACGCGACCTGGTGGGGTCGAGTCCGCGGCGAAAACACAGCCATGCACACGGAGGTGGTGCTCAAAGAATGTGGTCCATGTGGATCAGATGTTCTTCTCTGCAAAGAGGACATGAGAGCCTCCCAGTGCTGGGGCCTGTCAAAACAACTCCGTGTGACAGACCCCAAGCAACCAGACATTCCTCGTGATAGCAGTGCTGGCATGGTAGCTGCTTCACCTGCTCGTGGGGCTGCAGTTGGTCCAAGAAAATCGCACAAGTCACCTCTCCATTCGCATGGGCGGAGGGGAGCTCTAACGAAACATGGATGTACTTAGTACTGCCAGTAGGTTCTTAAAGGACAAGCAGCAAGCACGTAGAGTTCAAACTGGTTTCACAGACTTAAGTCTGGCTTCATCAAAGTGCCGAAGTGCCTTTTCCTTCGTAATCGTCAAACCTGACCAGCCACCTCACTTGATTGGAACCCCCACCTCTTCAAGTCCTCATGAGTACTGCGCAAAAAGCGCGTGGAGCGAGTGGAGTGGATCCTCTCCTTGTTGCAGCAAACCACCCAGCACGTCACCAAAACGGCCCCAAGCCCAATCATCCCCACAATGCCAATGACCACCACCTGCCCTGCATCGAACATGACGATCCTCATGTGCTCGGCTGTGCGTTCGGCGTTGTTCTTCAGCCGAGAGGATCGCGTCAAGCCCGTGCGTGGTCGCCGTTCGGGAAGGTCGGTGTTTGGCCCGTGTGGTGAAGAGTTCAAAGGTCTCGACCAGTGACCAGTGACCATCATGTACCAATTTCTACATAGTCTGACATTGGAATGAAGAAGTTGTGACGAACTCGGGGTTTGTCACCTCGTGCCTACTGCTGCCTACCTGTCCACCCTTTTGCCACGTGATTTGAGCCGCTCAAATGCTGCGCGGTGTCAAACGCAGTGCAGAGACGCTGCGACGAATTCTCGCGAGAACAAGTGTTGTTTCTGGATTCTTCCACCTTCCTGCTATAGGGATGGATAGAGAGAGAGAGAGAATCTTGAGACCACACGTGAAAGACATGGTTCAAACTCTCTGGTTTCTCACACATCATTTTTGTAAGTTCAGCAGGTCAAGTTGGAGCTTCCTCTCTGCCAAAAACGGAACTCCTAACTTCTCATGCTTCTTCTTTGGACAGTTATCGCACCACTACCTTCTTGAGTTCAGCATGGCTTGTGAATAGGCCAGCAGTTAAAACGAGGATCATGCCCGGTTGGGGTACCCCAAACGGTAGACATCGACCGAAAGCGTTCCCATCGCCATTGACTGAGTGAATTTTGAGTCTTGCTTCATCTCCAAGTTTCGACAACGAGGTCCTGGTGGAATGGACGTCCGGATGACTTTTTGAAGAATCCCGTAAAACCAGTACAGTGAATGGGGAGCTTTATGAATCAACAGTCTGCATGATCTTCCGCCGGTGTCTTCGGATCAAACCTATCCCCCCAAAAAAGTGCCCTGGCCAAGCGGCGCGGTGCTTCAGCGCGACCCACGCTGCTGGTGCGTGAAAAGGGAGTGCATGAATTAGATGATGAGGTCCTGCTCGTTTTCGAGACGAGCAGGGCGGGCTCCGGCGCCCTGCTCGATGAGGTCCACACTGGCAGCACTTCATTCAGTTCGTGACCCCTCTTTTTGCAGTCCGGAGTCGGTGACAAACACCAAACGAAGGGTCCGGAAGGGTCACCTTTTCGTGGCGGAGCGTCGGGTTTCTCGTTGGGTTCAGCTTCACCATGGTCATTGGAGAACAAGAAGCGAAGGCAGCTCAGGTCATATCCGGATGGGATGGACATGCTTTGCTGGCGTCGCGCTGGGAGACCACTTCAGATGTCCACTTCAGATTGGGATGGTCTCACCTTTGGTCATCTGAATGGGATGGTGAAATGTGGAGATTTCTGTCCGCGCCTTTGGCCTGCACCTCACGAGATCTGACCTCTCCCGCCACGGGATCTGTGCCCTTAAAGCTTAGACCTCGGGTTCATCCACCGAGCGACAAGGAAGCCGTCTCCAGCACCCGACTCTACCGGTCGAAATGGAGGCGTTTGTAGACTAGTCGTAGGTGGTGAGGGGCCCAGGGCCCTGGTATTGATCTCGGACATTCTGAATTCGTGCTTTCCACTGGCCATGTGAGCATAGGAGTTGCCATGTTGGAACACCACAACTGTGTCAACCTCTGCTTGGTTTTCGGCTTCCAGGTCTTTCCTCGCGCTATCACCGTGGATCCGCCATCAAGACTCGCTTCAGCTCCCACGACTTCTGGCTTGGCTTGGGGTAACCAGACGAAGCACTCTTCATGACCGGTCCCCCACGGGGGGGCGCTCGGCGAAACGACCGGTCCCCAGGGGGAGGCCTAGGGGTGACCCCCGGCTCCTTGGAGTCGAGGCGTCGAGCGGTGACCTGGCGCCGCATCCGTCCCCAGGTCAAAAGGGCAGGGACTCGTAGGAAAAGAAGCCGAAGACTGTAGAGATCGTTCTTAGACCCCAAAAGAAAGGTAACCTGAATATATAGCTTAAGCTCTGCCTCCAAACCTGGGATACCTTCTACCTGCTTCTGCTGGTGATTTTCTCCACAGTCTGAAGCCAATTAGTTACAGACCCTAGAAGTCCAGTTTGACTATATTTTGACCGAAGTAAAGGAAATTCCTGAATAGCCTCAGAACCTCCAGAATCACCCACTCAAAAGGGTGGTTGATAGTGCTGCATGGTTTTTTGAACCCCTCAAAACCATATTTCTTTCACCATCCAAGAAGCATTCCGTGGCCTGGTGCTGGCCTATTCTTTGTTGCCTGCTTTGCATTCGTTGTTTTCACCACCTCGACCCCGCCCTGACTAGCGCGGATCCGACATGAGACTGACCTCTGACCTCACCACGAGGAACCCAGTTGGAGCGGAACAAAGAACTCAGTTTGGACTCATTCGTCCTGGGGTGCTCCAACAAACACCCCAACACCCTCAAAGATGGGACGATGTTTGGGGAAGTTGTTCCATACACTTTGTATCTAAGTATCCTCAAAAGGGTTCCCGTCCATGATCGCTTTCATCCTGGGCTTCCCTGGTCCAACCGGGACTTGGTGCCACCGACCTCTTTTTTCCGGGCTTTTCGCCACGTGGGAGGCCCCTTGGGGAGACCGACCTCGGCCGGAACCCGACCCTCGGGAACGGCCGGTAAAGACCCACCGAGCGAGAACGCTGGGTCTCCACGGTCTCCATGTCCCAAAAACCTCTGGTTCACGTGCCGAGTCGAACCAATTGCGTGGCGCCACGTAGCCGAGTCGGCGCTGGCCGGACCTTGGCAACAGCTTCGTCCGCCTGAGAGACTTGCGGCGCGGGTTTGGGACGCTTCGGGGGCCTTTGAATGAAAACCCTTGGCTTCCGCTCGGCCATTCAAAAAATGGGAACGACCTGGTTTCGTAGTTTTAAAATCCTTAGTACAGCAGCTCGGTGGTTCTGGATTCAGCCTATTAAAAGAACGGTGGTTGTAATGCTAGGGGGATGAAAAGGACCAGGATGAGCTTCCTAAAGACGGACCAGGTGATCCACGTGTCCGCTCCAGTGATTGTTCGAGAACAGATCGGGCCAGTGTCGAAGACATGCCATGCAACGGAACATTCACAACTCAAAGATCCGAAGATCCGGAAGACCATCTGCCCCTTTCATGCCCCCCTGAAGAAAAGGGTCTTGCGACGTCGGTGTCAAGTCTCTCAGGTCTTTCTCAGGTCTTTCACAACTCAAGTGTCCAATTCTTGCTCCAAACGGGAAGCGGCACCTAGGTCAGTCACCCATCTTCGTCCGCCGGGAGGCCGTGCGAGGGCGACGAGCGGAGGAGCATCCGTTCGTAGCGTCCGATCGCTCCGTTCGTAGTACGGCCAGGAGCCCCGAACGTAGCGTTCTTGTTACTACTAGTAAGGCACTTGTTACTGCTAGTAAGGCACTTGTCTCTGGGCTTTCGATGTTCGTATCAAAGTCTCTACCCTGAAGCCTCCCAGTCAAGCGCTTCAGCCTCCCAGTGCCGGAAACCAAGTGGAACCAACTGGCGATGAAAACCCCAACCAAAAGGAAAGCAGAACTCACGGGTTCTCACAGGACCCCGGAAAAAAATATAAAGGGAGGACGGTCCTTTACTTCTGGTTGCTTCAAAAGAAAACGCTTCTTCCGCGCTCTGAAGCTGAAGGTTGCTGTTTGCCTTGCGTGGTGCTTTGTGTCCAAAAGCGGCTCGGCTTGGAGTCCGAGTCAGCGACCCGCGGGCCCCACACCTCTTCCGCCTTCTGGCTGATGGCCTTCTGGGCCTGATAGCGTCCCCATGGCATCGGTGTGGAGTCGAAAAGTGTCGACGGATGTCCCTGACGACCCAGACGCGAAGAAAACAGGTCCAGGACGTCCCTGACCCAGACGCTCCATCCAGGGTGCTGGGAAAATGAAATCCTCAAACATACCTGAACCCTCCAAGATCTGTGTCTGCTGGTGACAAACTCGGTGCCCAGGTTCACCACCTGTGGGTGGGTCTCCAAATAGCCTGTTGGACGGCATCCATATTACGTAAGTATAAATATATATATATATAGTAACTAATCCCTGGACGTCCAGTCGACTATTTGTTTAAATGGTCTTAAGGTAAACCGAAAAAGTTGTCTTTACTTCGGTGGCGCCAAAAAATGGTCCATGGGGAACCGAAAACCCGTACCCCATAGCCCCATAGGCAAAACCGCGGTTTGCAGCTGCGGAGAAGGTAAAAGAGGCTTTTGCATGGATGTTGAAGATGGCCAGAATCTCTCGGCGCGAGAATCTGTGGTGTGGTTCCCGCCTGGTCCACAGCTTTCTCGGCTGCCTCCTTGGCTTCCTGACGGGTGGATGAACACATTGTAGCCCCTTGCGAATAACCCTACATAACATAACCCTGACCACCCATAATCTGTGATATCTTATATATTAAGTACCAGGGAATCCAAATGTGCATTTTTGTTTGTTCAAACACGTTCGCACAAAAAATCCGGCCTTTTTTGTCAAATGGACAAATACGGCTGGAATTCCTCCGAACATTGGGTTTGATTGGGTTTTATCCATATGGGTGTTTGTCTATAAAATGATGATGGAGCTTGGGTTTCGTATGGGCACGCTTTTGTACGGTATTGTTTTTTGTCCATACGACTAAATACGCTAATTTGTTAATTAAAATGTCCATGCGATAAATTCTGTCCAAAGACGGCCTTCGCACAAAAAAGAGTGTTCATACGACTTTCCAGGTACATAAATAGTCTAATCTGCCAAGGAGGGGAGCGCCTTGATCCCGTTCGGACCACCGAGTGCCGATGTCACTCAGCCCCCCAATTGTCGGGCTGCTTCAGACACTTGAGGTGGCACTCCCAAAGCCTCTTCCTTAAACCACGGAAGAGCACTAATTAAGGCGAATCACACCAAGAACCTTACCAGTTCAAATGTTCTCCGGTCTACGGTCTAAGTCTATATCAAAAACGGTCTAAATGTATGATAATCATGTGTTTCGCAGCAAAGCTTGAAAAAGAACAGGATCCCTGCTCCAGTTCATACCGGTCTCCACCTTCTACTTCCCCAAAACCCACCAACTCCACGCCGCGGGAGGACGGCGTGGGAGGAAGGTCTTCACCACTCGCCTCGGTGACCTTCTTGGCCGCCGCCTCTCCAGAGGCCTTGGTCCAGCCGTCCGAGCGCCAATGGCGGCCGAGCTCGACGAGCGACCGAGTCGAGCTGCGTGCGACCGGGTCCACCCAACGCCCATCCCAACGCCCAGTAGGGGGCCCCAGATCCAAGAAGGGGCCCAGATGTGACCAGGAATCCATCCCGCCTATCGATCACTTATATAAAGGGGATGGATTCGGATAAGCGAGTTCACCAAAAATGATGGGTTCCTGCTCCAGCACAGCTAGAATTCGAGGGAGCTGACCGGATTCCTAATTCTACCTCATGGTCTCTCCTCCAATCCTCTCCACCCGCCCCAGATCCAAGAAGGGGCCCAGTCAGACACGACGGCCATGGAAAGAGCCCTCACGGCGTGCACCTGTGTGGCCAGAACCCGACGCCAAAACGTTGGGGTCCAGACCCAAAGCAAAGCCTTCCCATTGCGCCCCAGGCACGTATTCTTTGGGTAGGACCCGCCGGGACGGTCTTCGGCCAAAAGGTCCGATGGCACCCAGACACATCCAGACACTCTGTTCACAGCCCTTGATCCGGGGGAACCTCCAAAAGATTCGGGTCAGGCCGGAGGGAGGGTCGCGTCTGGACACCCACCGGCCCACCGGCACCGGCCTTGGCCCCCATCGCCGTGGCGACGGCCTGGTGTCACGATGTCCGTTTGGGGTGAGACTTGCGACACAACTCCGACACGACGTCGTTCGTACCGAAGTCGTGGGGCCTGGCGCGAATAGCAAGGTTCAATCGTTTA